TTGGAAGTGAGAGCTGTGGATCTTGTCCCTTGAAAAACCCATATGCATATAAACGTTGGCATAGATTCTAGGTTAGGAACCTCTGGACCATGAGATACAGTCTGAACTCTATTACTAAGATGGTGCCTCCTGCCTACATTGCAACTTTCACCCATTACTGCTATGATTTCACCTTGCTTAGCAATCACACTGAATTACACAACATTTAAGAGTGTGATGTCTGGCCTCGGATTCTGGCTCTATCACTGACAGGTGACAACAGGTGTGTTATCTAACCTGTGTTTCAGATTGCTCATCTCCAAAATGGGAATGATAGTAGGATCTCCTTCATAAGGGGGTTTTGAAGATTAAATGAATGAATACATAAAAAAGCACTTATGGTCATACCTGGCACATAATACACATGGAATAAGGATTAGCTACTTTTTTAAGGATTAGCTATTTTTATTAGCTGTACGGTTTCACGCATTTGCACATATTATTCCCTCTATCTAGGATGCCTGTCCGCTTGCCAATGCCAGCGTCCTTTCACTGATTCTACTTGAGTTTTCAGGATGTATTCAAGCTCACCACCCTCGTGAGAACTTCCATGGTTTTCTGATAATGCGCTCTTGCACGTCACTCTGTTACTCGGTGTTGCTGTGTACTGAGTTTGTAATTTCCACTTATACGCCCATTTGCACATATGCTCCGTAAGGTTAGCAGCTATGTCCCTCTTGTTTACTAGGCCCTGGCTTTCACAACTGTAACTGGCATATGGTAGGCTCCCACTAAGCACTTGTGGAATGAATGGATGAATGAATGAATGAATGAATGAATGAATACTTTCTCTTTCAGGGAGAGAAAGGCTCATGTGTCTTGAACACAGGTTTATGAATCTTCAAAGACCTATTGCCAGCGTGGGGCTTGGCACGTGCACAAAACCGCTTTCTGAGTTGATCTGAGATCCAATCAACTTAGATTCAATGAAATATGTTTAGCGTTGATTGCATGATCATTACCTTTTGAGGATTTTTTCGACTTAAGAACAATGATCAAATATAAAATAAATAAATATAAAAAAAGAGATGAGCTTTATTTATTAAAAAGTCTTAAGTTAAAGCTTTCCTCAAAATACGCTCAGATGTTTGGGGACCAAACAAGACGAAAATCTCCAAAACCAGAGAACTTGCTAAGACCTGTCTTCCCACGACCCTTCCAGCAACAACTCCCGCTCAGCCACCCTCCGCACGCATCCTGTCTCACCACACGATACATACAAGAACAACACGGACACAACTCCTCTCCGTCTTGGCTGATAAACATTCATCAAAGAACACAAACTTCTCAATAGGGAAGGGAACAGAAAAAAGAAATGAAAAACAAAGAGGAAGAGTAGTTTGGTTCAGTAACGTATTGTTTTAAGCACGTGAGGCCAAATCACTGAAATCCTGAAACCGAAGATGAAATGGAGCTCCGCAGCTAACCAGAGTTCTGTTCCTTCAAAGCTTACGCCTTTACGGAAACTCTGCTCTACAGAGGTCAACATCTAATGTGCAAGAGATATAGTTAGACAGCACAAATTAACTCCTTAAGTATCATCGCAACTCCACATCGGTCTTTGGGAGTTCATACGTTAAGGAGCTCTTAAAAAACAAAAACAAAAACAGAAACTCAATAATAACTCCACAGTCCTGACAGTTTATAATGCATATACAGTTGGTTCACCTGCATCCTTTTGATTCTCTATTTGAAAGAGAGAGCACAACAAGGAGAGAAGAGAGAGAGAAACAAGAACACATATGCAGGATTAATGAGCAAATGGACCAAAATGCCCCCCATTTGTGTGTGATACATGATATTGGAAGGAAAAGGTTGCCCTTGGGTTCCCACCGCCCCGAAGTGTGGGGGCCAGCAAAAAAAGGCTCCTTCACAGAGGTGGAAAATGCTGCACAAATAGAAAATTAGTAAAATTAAGTTTAATGTGAAATCAAGCTATGAAACATACACGAACTCTCCAAGTGACAATTAAGTCAAATGTTCTAGCCAGAGCTTAGAGGACAGGGACAAGTCAAAATCTCCCGAGAGAATAAGGAAAAGCTTCCCAGCTTGAGAGAGAACAGACAGGAGGCATACAAGATCTAATTTTTACACAGGATGGACCACCTTGTGTGATCTTATACCCGTAATAGTTTCACATCTTCAACATGGAAAGGAAGGCATGATTTTGCCTCAGCTATCCCTTTTCTGACACCTAACGCATTGTTCCCGGCCTAGCGGCTACCTTTTGATTGTGTACCAGTGACAAGCACTTTACAAATTGGGGTTACACACAAGCAAAGTAAAAATGCATTCAGGTCACAGACAGAGAATAACTGAAAAACTTACGGACAAATCTGAGTTTATCACAAACAAATGGCTTAATTGTCTAACCTGTTTGAGGCTGATAAAAAGTGACTGAACTTCTCACACTGGGTTTCACAGACAGAATCAACAGACAAGCCAATGCTAAAAAACTTGAAGCAAGGAGAGTGAGTTGGTTTGGATCTGGATTTTCTTGAAATAATGAAAACGGAAAGAGTGAAGACAGCATGGCGAGGAGGCGGTAGGTACTCACGAATGGTTAAATCCATCACTTGGGAGGCCAAGCAGAAGACAGGATGCTCATACATTTCTCTCTTTTTCCCTATAAAAGAGGATTTGGGCATGCAAGAGGCTTAGGTCAGAGGTAAAGAGGTTAAAGGTCATAGGTTAGAGGAATACGTTACATTAGCTCAAAGGAAAATAGCCACAGAGTATTTTGGGATAAACACGGGATAAAAGAAAAAAGGAGTTTCAAAATTGGAGATCTACTGGATTAACCATTCAGCATGCCGTGAGTCACGAGAGAGATTGTGACCATGATTTTACACGTCTCTTTAGAATTGTTGGCAAGAGTACAATGACCAAAAACATCATGAGTAAAGGGAAACAGAATTTCATTGATTTAAGGCTCCAAGATACTAAGGATTTCAGACTTTAGTATCTAAGGCTCTTGAGGTATTTCTTCATAAACATAGTCTCCAGCGATATCACTATAACTTCATTCCCAAATTCTCAGGGGACTAAGCTGTGGCTCAAATGTAAAAACGTAAGATTTCTTTTCTGAGCATAGGATCAGAACCTCGTAAAAGAAAGTTGTTTGGTAGTAGCATCTCCAAAGCTGCAATGTCTCAACCTACGGTGGACTATGTTCATGAAAGAAAACCTGATACATGCAGCCAGAGGATGTTGGGTTGTCTGAATTAACAATCCCAGCATGCTTTGAAATTGGTGTCACAGCCACTTTTGCAGAGGTAATGTCAAAAAGTGGCTGAGCCAATCACGGACAAGGAAGGAGAGAAGCGGAAGAGAGCAGGTAGTGTGGAATGAGGTACTTCTCTGAAAAGAGAGTTGGAAAAAAAAGATTGGTTTCTTCAAAGAATCCCCAGACCTAAAAGTCACAGTGCAAAAGATAATTAACACAACCAAGAAGAATTGAGGCACAAAAGGAAATTACAGATCAGCTGATCTACTTTGGAAATGAATGCATTTTTACTTACAGATCTTAAAGTTTGTTTTTGGATATATTTATCTGAAAGAAGAGAGCAGATCTTACCGAAAGACTAGTAATAACTAGACCAAGGCCTACGAGGCAGCAGCCATGGCGACCGGACGTTTCTTGATCCCATCCCATCTCTGGCCTTGCCTAGAATTATTAGGTACCTGGTTGACTTTACCAAATACAACCAATCATTATGTCCTGGGAAGGTAAATGCTAGAACAATTATTTGCTAATATAGCCCTTTAATGATCTTCTTGTTCCTCTATTTTTGTCACTCATTACCAAGTCAAGAGTTGATAAACATCCTTTTAGTGCCCAATTCTTAAGTGTTTCTCCCTGGGTGCATAGCAATGAATTCATTACCACTGGTACACAATTTGCATTGTCAGACAGACAAAATTGAGAGAGGGAGGACATGTAATGTACAGAACACTGCGATTTGACATGACCTTAACCTAATTCTCTAAGGAAACAAGGACTTCGGCAGGGTAAGTGATAGGGTTTTGGTGGTTGATTAGGTCTTTTTTTTTCCCCCCCAGTCAAGTCCTGAAGGCAGACAATGGGCATTTGCTGGTTTTAGTCAGGTGTTTCACATGTGAGAGAACATCAGATTCCAGAATGCGGACACACTGAGTTTTGCACACAGAACTTCCACATTTATACACTTACACCACTGGTCAAGTTGGGTGTGGTTTTCAAATCACCCTATAGCAGCCAACAGGGTAACAATGAAAAGTGATTAATACCTTTGCAAATGAATAGGTCCCAAAGAACCATATCTTCTCAAGTAGAGTTTACTCAAAGTGCCTTTTGGGTGATTACTTGGTCATCAGTGCCTGCTTCCCTAAAACTTGAGAGGGCAGTGGTAACAACCATCCTAGGTCTGGAGCAACAAGAAGGAATGAGATCTAAAGCAAACCAGGAGCCATCAGAGACAGCTGGACACCAACCTGCCATCAGGTTTGAAAATGTTACCCAAAGACAAGATATTCTCAAGGGGCAAGAAAGAGTAAGCAAAAATCTTGATGTTGTTTTGTTCAATGCTCGTTTTACCTCCAAGGCTGTCAACAATGGACAACAAAGTGCTTTGTTTTCCTCTATTTAAAGAAGGTAGCAGTCCCACAGAACCTCTTCTTAGGAAAACATTACTCACAGAGCAAAGTTAATGCCGACACAGACTCTCAAAAGGACCTTCGTTATCTGATAACATCCTATATTCATATTCTTCCCCTCAAAAGACTGCTGCCTGAGCCCCTGTTCTTAATTCATTTATTTGGCCGCAGCCAAGGAAGCTTTCATATTTCAAGTGCTTTCAGGTTTCAGTTTAACATATTCAGATGGACCACTGTTTTCTGGTGCCCATTAGAAAAGACAGACTCTTCCCCAGGGAGGCATACCAAAATTTAAAGAAGTAAGTGGGGGCAGAAGGGAGCCTTACCTTCGATTTTAGCATATTCTGAGAGCCGGGAGTAGTTGACTAAAGCAGCCTGCTCTAGACATTTCCGGATGACTGTTTTTACCTCCTCTTGTGGTACGGGGGTAACAATATCTTTCATCAAAACCTTTAGGTGGGAAAATAAAAGATTATTAAGATGGTTCAACCAAATGTGTTACTCATTTATGTTTCTTAAAGAGCTCAAGTTTAAAACGAGCTGTGAATGCCTCCTTGTGACTTAATACTGATTGAGAGCCATCGCTAAACAGAACACAGAGTTGTAATGCACAGTTAGGATGGCAAAACCCATCTATGAATCAAGGAAGGGCCAGGAACATATCTTCAATATATGCTAACTATTTGGGAGTCTGGAGATAAAATATCTAGAATTTTGGCAGTTTCCCCACGTTTATTCTGGTATTTGATGAATGGTAAGTGAAGCCTTGAAAAATGACAAACTAGGTCATTCAGCCATAATATTTCATTACAATCATGTTCACGTCTATATATATGTAATCTGTCTTTTACTTCCATTCTTACCCTTTCCAAGAGCGATAGAGTAGCTTTTAAAGCCCCTTCAGGTCGACCGAATGGAAAGCAATACCTAAAAAACAGAGAACATTCTTCAGGTTGCCCAAATACATTACATTTCAGCATGAAGTATGCTGCAATTTGATTCCTATAGCAACTCTTTCTGAGGAACAGAAAATGCTTTTTATTTTGTCACGTTGTGTTATGTTAATCTGAATTCACACCATATATGTGTGTATATAATGTATATATGTGTATGTGTGAATAATGACTAAAGAGGGACTCTGCAAGTGTCTGCAGCAGAAAAGAATATTTAGAGTGATGGCATAAGGCTCTGTTTAGATTTCTATTGTGAAGGAAAAGCATTTGTTAGCTCACATGTGACCTTATATATTATTATAGAGACCAGGAGTAAAAAAAAAAAAAATTAGTTAAGACAGGCTAAAATCCTAACATATTTACTCAAATCTCCAAAGGCTTTACTAGAGGAAATGAAGGAGTGTATTTTGAGCAAATTCATGCTTTTGCTAGATGTACTTCTTTGACTGCAGTTTTTAACTGTCATGGGGTCTTTTGTTACTGGCAATACATCTTGCATATAGCGAATAACCAATAAAAATTTATCCCAGAGGATTTTGATGGCACAGAAAGAGCTAGGTCCTGTACTCCTAAGAGTTCCATTGACTATTTGGGGCTGTCACAGGCCTTTTGAGCCACTGTTCCTCATGGTACCAAGGGACCAGCAGAGGCTACTTAAATTCAAACTATCTCCTAGGCGTGTGTCCAGCTGAGTGGTCTGGGGCAAGTTCCTTAACTCTCTCAGCTTTGGTTTACTTTTTATTTGAGACTGTGACAACGACCTCACAAAGTTGTTCTGGGAATAAAAAATCGAGTCAATGCCTAACCAGCCGTGAGTCCTGTATCTTGACCCCTAGGAAATGTTTAAGAAAAAGGATCAGTTTATTATTATAAATGTTCTTACTATTTTTGAGTTACTATCTCAGGATCTCTAGTCTACAAGCACCAGTGCAGCGATAGAAATGTCTAATTTGCTGCAAGGCAGAAGCGGGCTATGTGGTGCAAGGCTGAACTTGGACCTGCTCGCTGTGTCAAGGGCGCGGGGTAGAGTCAATCTGCCAAGGCAGATCTAAGTTTCCTTCTTTCCCTTAGTAGATGGCTAGCCCTGTTTCTGAGGCAAGAGAGAAGGTGGACACTCTCATATGGACCCCACTGCCTTCCTTCCCTGTTCATGCGATCTGATTCACAGGAGTTTTCACGGGTTTAGGAACCTTGTAGAAATTTCACATTCAGCTTCTTAACAGAGATGTAAAAAATGGATTGATGACCAGGGTCAGCTTGCAAAAGGAGGGCTCTGTTCTTTTAGGGGAAGTAGAATGAGCTGAAGATGTCAAAGTCTCCTGGCTATTGCGGAACCCTATCCTATTGGTTTTCATTTCCATTCAGTTACCTTTTTTTGTCTTTTTAGAGGGATGGAGAGCACAAGGGAGTGGGGGACAGGTGCAGAGGAAGAGAGAGAGAGAGAGAGAGAGAGAGAGAGAGAGAGAGAGAGAGAGAGAACCCCAAGCAGGCTCCATGTTCCCGACATGGGGCTTGATCCCACAACCCTGGGATCATGACCTGAGCCTAAACCAAGAGTCAGATGCTCATCTGAGCCACCCAGCTGCCCCTCAATTCAGTTATTTCTAAATGTCCAACGTGTCACTGACAGGTTAACAGTTTTAGAAAGTCAAGCCCTTTATTTGCCCCACCCCAGTCTCACGCTCTTAATTAACCCCTCAACCCCAGATCCTTACCTAAAATGTGTAATCTGATTTTCCAACAGAACTCGGAGTCTCTCTTTGATTTCTTCAAAACGTTCCTTCTCTTCAACAGTCACAGTTCCGATTCCATCAGGCCTGAAAGAAGACATGTCATGAAGTGACGGGAACCTCATACACTGACATCGTCAAATCACATCTCTAGCAGGAGGAAACTGTCCACTTCAGAAGAACAATTACAATGATCGATGTGACCTTAGGAGAAGTCCTGCTTTTCAGAGGTGGCTACTAAAGGGCATGGGGTATGCTGGGGTTATCTTTTGGAGACATTTGTAGTACTGTCGCTCATTTATTGTGAAGTGGTAAAATGTATAAACTGGTGGCCAGAAAGTCCAGTTTCTAGGCCTTTTGTTTGGCTCATAGCTTCTTAAGATTTTTGAACTATTTGCCAGCATTTTTTTAAAGTTTGGTCGCTTGTTTGTTTATTTAGAGTGTGGGAGGGGGCAGAGAGAGAGAGAGAGAGCACGCGCGCACAAGAGAGCGAGAATCCCAAGCAGGCTCTATTTGCCAGCATTTTTAAAAGTGTATTTATTTACTTAGAGTATGGGAGAGGGGCAGAGAGAGAGAGAGAGAGAGAGAGAGAATCCCATACAGATTCTATTTGCCAGCGTGTTTTAAAGTTTATTTATTTATATAGAGTATGGGAGAGGGGGAGAGAGAGAGAGAGGGAGAGACAGAGAGAGAGAGAATCCCAAGCAGACTGCACATGGTCAGCACAGAGCTCGATGCAGGACTCGAACCCATGAACCATGAGATCATGACCTGAGCCGAAGTTGGACACTTAACCGACTGAGCCACCCAGGTGCCCCAATTTGCCAGCAATTTTTAAAGTTAGGAAAGTTTTACAACACAATTCTTTTGAAAATTTGGAACAACTGGCATTAACTGGTGAGTAACAAGTAATAGCTTTTTAACAGGGGCAGGCAGTTAACTGTCCACATCTCTCAATTGTGTTAAATATCTCTCTTGTAGGCACTTAGGTTTGGGACTCCTGAATTACGCACACAAACTTCTAGAAAAAACAGGTGCCTTGTAAATATCTGTCGTTTTTGGTGTTAAATGTTCCTAAGTGACTCAATATCTAGCTTATATTACAGATGTTCAGATTCTCTTAAGCACTAATGTATTAACTGAAGAACAAATTATAAGACATTGGGGAAAGTGAAGGACATTGATGAAAGAAATTAAAGAAGACACAAATAAGTGGAAAGATATCCTATATTCATGGATTGGAAAAATTAGTATTGTTAAAATGTCCAAACTACTCCAAGCCATCTACAGATTTAATGCAATCCCTATCAAAATTCCAATGGCATTTTTTTACAAAAATAGAAAAAAACAATCCTAAAGTGTGTATGGAACCACAAAAGACCCAAAGAGCCAAAATAATCCTAATAAAGAACAAAGTTGGAGACGTTGCAATTCCTGACTTAAAAGTTTATTACAAAGCTTTAATAATCAGAACAATATGGTACTGGCATAAAAATAGATGCACAGACCAAGAGAACAGAGCTGAGAACCCAGAAGTAATCCATGCATGTATGGTCAACTAATATTTTAGACAGGGGAGCCAAAGATGAACAATGGGAAAGAATAGTCTCTTCAATGAATGATGCTGGGGAAAACTGGATATTCACATGCAAAAGAATGAAACTGGACTCCTATGTTGCACCACTCACAAAATTAACTCGAAATGTATTAAAGACTTAACCATAAGACTTGAACCCATAAAAATCCTAGAAGAAAGCATAGGGAAAAAGCTCTCTGACATTGGCCTTGGCAACAATTTTTTTGGATACGACACTAAAAGTAGAAGCAACAAAAGCAAAAATAGACAAGTGGGGCTACATTAAACTAAAAAATTTCTGACAGCAAAATATAAAGGTAACCTATGGAATGGGAGGATATACTCCCAAACCATCTATCTGATAATAGACAACAGAAATATAGAAGTCATAAAATTCTATAGAAAAAAACAAATGATTCAATTAAAAAATGGGCAGAGGACTTGAATAGACAAATGGACTTGAACAGTCTTCCAAAGGAGACATACAAATGGTCAAAAGATACATAAAAACATCACTCGTCATCAGGGAGATGCAAATCAAAATCACAATGCGATATCACCTCACAATGGCTAGTATTGAAAAGACAGCAAGTGTCGGCAAGGATGTGGAGAAAAGGGAGCCCTTATGCACTATTGGTGGGAATGTAAACTGGTGAGGCCACGGTGGAAAACAGTATTGAGGTTCCTCAAAAAATTAAAAATAGTACTATCACATGATTTGGTAATTCCACATCTGGGTATATACCTGAAGGAAAGGAAATTACTTTCTTGAAGACACATCTGCACCCCTGTGTTCATTGCAACATTATTCACAACAGCCAAGATATGGAAACAACCGAAGCGTCCACTGATGAAAGAATGGATAAAGGAATTCATGAATAAATATATACATGATGGAATTATTTTTATATGATGGAATATTATTCAGCCATAAAAGAAAGGAAATCCTACCTTTTGAGACGACATGGATGGAACTTGAAGGCACTACGCTAAGTGAAATAAGTCAGACAGAGAAAGACAGAAACTTCAAGCTCTCACTTACATGTCTAATCTGAAAAAGTCGTACTCATAAGAATACAGAATAGAATGGTAGTTGCCAGAGCCCAAGGGCTGGCAGAAACAGGGAGCTGTTAACTAAAGGGTACAAACTCCCAGCTATAACATGAGTAATGGTACTGTATTTATATACTTGAAGGTTGTTAAGAGAGGAGATCTTAAATGTTATCGCCCACACTAAAAAATGATAATTATGTGAAGGGATGTAGGTGTTAATTAACCTTGTCATAATAGTGATTTCACTATATATATATATATATATATATATATATATATATATATA